CACATTATTACGGCTCCCAGAGTAAAAAAAAAAAAAAAAAAAAAAAAAAAACTAGGAAAATAAAAGTCTCTCCCTCTTCACACTTCTGGACCGACGTGGTTTTGTTTCAGCTACTTTGAGGATGGGAGACAAAAAAAAAAAAAAAAGTTTCTACATAAGAATGTTCTTCGGGGCACTTTAGAAAACCCCCTGTCCTGCTTTCTGCATGGTCAAGGAGCAGAATAAAGAAAGCAAAGACTTTTATTTTATACACCACTTGATCTCTGCTTGGGAAACTCTATTAATTGAATGGGCTTGCCTTTTTTGCCAGGTCCCCTTTATCATTATTTATGGGCTTTAAATTGTTTAAAGTTCCCTTGACGTTCAATTTACAAGTTTGGGGACTTTTTTTGTTCTGCCTTTTGTCCTGGAGAAAGACATCGTGTTGGAAGCGCTTTGAAAAGCCAAACATGAGAGGTTGGCGGTGAAAGGGAAGCGGGCAAGATCCCTTTTAATTCCGTCCTGTTGGTGAATGGCTCTTTTACATAATTGCAGGAGCCATTTCAAAGCCAGCCAAGGGCTGACTTCACTTAGAACCACATGGAGTCTATTTTGGGCTTTCAGATTTAAAAAAAAAAAAAAAAAAGCTGAATAAAATAGTTTAAAAAGATGAGGCTTCAATGCTTTCTGCTACTTGCAAATTGGTGTGTCTGATGGGGAATTTTACACAAGTGCCCCTTTGTAAGTACGTCTTGGGCTCGGGAAGCTCCATTCTAGGTTAGCTGTGTGCGGATCCCAATTGCCCCATCCCTAAATGAAACCCATCCCAAGTTATTTCCCAACTATGGCCAGGAGCGAGCACCGCAGCAAAAACGGGAGCACCAGACTACTCAAAATCCCTCTAAATAAAAATAACACGGTTGCCAGAGAAGCCAGCCTGAAGCTGGGGTCTGGGCTGCTGGCGGGATGGCCTCTCCTAGGCGAGGCCTGCTGGTTTCCCCACGGCCTCCCGGGAGAGCGGAGCGCCCTCGCTGCTCCTGGAAGCCGCGCGACCCTTCCACCTGGAGGTAGTATGAATATTCATTTCCTCGCGCGGTTCGTAGTCTGTGCTCGGCTTTCACCCACCTGTGTGCAGAGGCCGACCGGGACAGCCCACAAGCGTGGAGCCAACTTAATTACCATCACTTTTATTGAGCGTCTAAGCCTCTCTGTAAGTGGCTTAATACGATCCTGACACTCGCTTGGCAGCAGTAAAAAACCTCCCGGGCTGGGCCAGCTCCAGAAGTTCGCGGAAGCTGAGCGGAGTTGGGGGGCCCAGCCTGGCCCCCCCGCGCGCCCAGCCTTTTCCTAATTGGAGGGGGCGGGGCTCTGGGCGCCGAGGCCGGGATCTGCGCCGGCGGGTTTTCCCGCGCAGCGGGCCGGGTCCGACCCCGCAGGGCTCCGCTGCCCCAGCAGCTCAGGGCTACGCAGGTGGGAATTCGGAGGACAGATCCGCGTGCCCGCCGCTCGCTCCCTGAGCGTCGCTCTCTTCACCCCGACCGGACCCCCAGGCTCTCCCCTCTGCAGCCCCCAGACTCGCAGAGCTCTGCGCCGAGCCGAGGGGTCTCGGGGTGCATCTCCTTAATCAGGCCAAAACACGAGGGGCCTTTTGTGATGCGAACAGTTATCTTCCAAGCAGTTAAGCGTTAGATGAGAAAAATACTACCGCAAAGCAGTCGGGAAAAGCACACTGGTAAATAAAATTCGTATTGATGGGAAATTATCTGAGCTCACTAATAAAAGATTAGCACTATAAGCCCCGCAGTCAATACCGTGCGTGGCAATTTATGGACACAAATAATATGGCAGCAAATTACTTCAAGTGTGGTTGTAATTCAAGGGACTTCAACCTTGTTGCTGAACTTTCAGTGGGGAATCGCCAAATCGGTCAAAGGAATGCCTGTCGCTCCCTGGCTCTGGGCCTAATCAAGCGACAGGAGTCTGTACAACGATATTTTTTTTTTTTTTCAGCGAAAGAGGAAAATGGAAGGCAGAGGGGCCAGGTAAAAGGAGTGCTTCCACAAGCGCCCCAGAGGCGAGCCGAGGGTCCCCGCTGTAGCCAAGTAAACCAAGGAAGCGGTTATTCTGGAAGGGGTGTGTGTGTGTGTGTGTGTGTGTGTGTGTGTGTGTGTGTGTGTGTGTGACTAACAAGGTAACAGCACCAGAGACTGTCACTGTAAAGACCTCATAGTAAGAGGGAGTGTTTATTTTATGCTCATGAAGAAGCCAGCCTCTCGCCTTGGGCCTCGATTATCTTCTTTTGTGGGCAAACTGGGGCTACAGCTCGGAGAGCCCACGGCACCTCCTTCCCGTGTGTTCCGGAGGGAGTTAATCCCCCCCCCCACACACACACACACACTACCTAAGTCATGTCGAGGTCTGGGCGTGAAGTGCGGAGACAGGCAGTGCCCTAATGAATTCCTTTCAAGCCGCCATCTATTACTGCGGCCGGACTGGGGAAGGCATTGGAGATGTCTTTGTCCGGGTGATGGAGGGGAGGGGAGGGGACCCCGGTGGGGGAGGAGGCGGCTGGCAGCCCGGCCCGCGAGTTTCCTCCTGGCCGAGGGGCGCGAAGGACGCCTCCTCCTCCCGCTTACCTCTCGGCACGGGCAGTTGCTCGCGGGCCAAACTCTTGGCCTGAGGAGATGGTCTAGGATTGAGACGTCCCTCGGGGGCCTTGGGGTGAGAGCGAGAGACAGAGGAAGAGCGTGAAAGAAGAGCTTCAAAGAATCGGGTCGATGGGTTCATAAAGATCGATTTATCTTTATCTCCCAATTAAAAGTGCTTGTGATACACGACCCAGGTCCAGCGTGGCAGCTCCCCAACCGCCGGCGCCCGGGCCGGACGGGGCTGCAGCGGCCCGCGGAACAATGTCCCCCTTGGCTCCCGGGCCCGGCTCGGCAGCAGCTCCGGGAGGGCGCCCAGACCTGGGCGGGTGAAGCCAGGCCGGGACTCGGGGAAGCCGGGCGCGCGCTGGCGGGGTCTACCCTGGCCAGGAAGCCACTCAGGGTACAGGGACTGAAAGTTTGTTCCAACCCAAGAGGACCAGAACCGCCCACTGGGCCTCGGCCGCAGTCCCGCCGCTCCCTAACTCCCGCTTCCCGGGTTGACCGTGGCCGAGAGCGGGAGGGCTGCTGGGGGCCCGGCTGCATCCCGCAGTCCGCTAAGGGGCCGCGTGCCCGGGAGTCCTCGCGGGGCCGGGCGAGAGCTCCCTCCGCGGCCAACGCGCTTACTGAGCGCCTGTTTACAAACCGCAGCTTTTATTTGAGCAAACATCCTAACGCGTTCGTCCAGACAGTCTCCCTCAGACAGTCCGGAGGCGGCGCCGGCCCCCGTCCTCCCTGAATGGAGCGGAGAACCCGCTTTATTATCATGATTATCCTGGCTGTTATGGTGGTGCGCTCTGGCAAAGGGAGCAAATAGGTGCGACGATTAAGAATGTCGTGGAAAACGGGCAGGGATCGCTCAAGAGAGGCCCAGCTAGCGACGGGGAGCCAGCCCCCTGCCCGCCGCCGCGCCGCGAGCCACCCGCAGCCCCCGAGCGCCGAGCAAGGGCCGAGGAGTCCGACGCGCACCGGGGAGCGGACCCGCCCGGGCAAGACCCCAAAGGCAGCCCGGGAGGCCGCGCCCGCACCCCTGGCACAGCCAGAGCACCCGCTGCTCAGGTGAGCATCGCTCAGGGTTCGGCTCCGGCGACCAGGAAGGTCCATGGGGGCGGATGCCAGCCCCGAGCCGCCTCTCCGGCGGGGTCCGGGGGCTCCGGGATGTGAGTGGGGGAGGTGGCGAGGGTCCCGCTCAAGTTTGCTCCGCGCCGGGCAGGCGCACGGGCTCCGGCTCCGGGGCCCGCACGCTCCAACGGCGGCGCCCGCAACACGCCTGCGGCCCGCCGGGGCGGAGGGGCGGGGCCTGCTCTCGTCCCGCCTCCCCGGCTAAGCCAATGAGAGGCGGCCCTCGAGCCCACGTGACGCGAGCCCGGCCGGGCAGCTGGCAAAATGTGAATGAGAAAGAGGAGCGCGATTTAAAGGTGCTGGCGGCGCCCGCCGGAGACGAGTGCGCCGGCTCCGCGATCTGCCCGGCGGCCCGCGGGCGACCACCGACTGCGGGACGGGCGGACGGACGCGCGCGGCGCCGGAACCCGGGCCTCGGGCCGCTCGGCAGCGGGTTGCGGCCGCGGCGG